TTGATTTATTTTGATTTCTTGAAATCCAAAAGCATGTTTCTAAAACTCAACCTATCCACGTGTGTAATTGTAACCCATAACAGGCGACGGTTTTCAAAACATCAATCAGTGAAGCATACAGTAACTACTCATTCAATAACCTTCAAATTCAAAACCAGTAAGTAGTTCTAAGTAAGATTAATTTTTATTAGGAAGTGTTCACGAGCGAGTCTACATTGCAACAAATAAGTTAAGTTTAATACAGACCTTCCCCTTTGGTTTTTCTTTTTGCTTGGAGCTTGCAGTACTGGCCTTGGTAGTCTTTGCAGTCGGTACTCTTTTTCTTTGCGGGTGGCAGGGAAGGTGATTCTGGAATCTGTGCATTAAAACCGGTACAAATGTTATGACTCACTAACAAAATAACATAAAAGAATGATCCTGAATGTAGTTGAGTCGAATGGTTTGATCTTAAGCAAACACATAGCAACTTTTGCTTAGCCCTCNAACTTATATAAGCTCAAATTTATTGATTTCAGGTCAAAAGTGGTTAAAACGTTGACTCATGTTAACGCACGACGGCAAGGATGTTGATTTCTCTTAGAGAAAACAACAAAATAACATAAAAGAATGATCCTGAATGTAGTTGAGTCGAATGGTTTGATCTTAAGCAAACACATAGCAACTTTTGCTTAGCCCTCACTCGACATGGACCCAATTCAGTGACGGTTTCTGATTTTCTGTCTCCTCGTGGACTAGGTAACAGGTTACAATGGCAGAGAATTCTTTTTTTGTTTTTCCCCACAGCACTTTTACTTTCTGGCCATGTTCCAATGGCAAAGGATCAACTTGGTAGAACAAAACACGTCGGAATACTTTCCACGACTTTAGCTAATTCGATCAATTTTTCCTTCCATGTTAATAGTAAACGATTTTGCCAGTGATTAACATAAGTCAGTGAGAAGTGGTAACTGAGTTGAGTTTCTACCTTTTTAAGTGATGACGTATTGTGTGACATCATTGCTTTAAGCTGGCGTGCTGCATTCCTTTGGATAGTGATTTCTCACTTATTTTGTTGCGCTACTGTCCATCACGCTTATGTCACGCACGATTTATCCCTCTGTGGAAGCGAAATGCACTCAGGGAGTCAGTAAATGAGACAATTAGATTCAGCAGAGTGCTTTTAATTCTAGCTTTTAAAAGAAGATTTAGGAGTGGATTTTGGTTTATACAGTATTGGAAAAATTTGCGTTCATGGGCAAACTCATAATAAGGCATGGGTTGCACTTGGCAAATTTTTGCCAGAATTTGTTTACTTTGCAGCCGAAACCTGTCATCGGGGGACATTGCCAAGTGCGACCTCAACTTTTCCAGTTGGCAAAAACTTCAAAAATTGGCCAAAACATCAAAGACACCGTAGTGCTTGGGTGGGACAGGCAGATTTCAGAAAACTCCAGCTGAACAATAGGAATCACAGCGGTAACTGTCAACTCTTGTCAGTGAATGAAAATTTAACAGAACATTTTGTGATTAAATTAAAAAAGTGTGCGATATTGCTTCAGTTCGCGCTTATTCTTTGCCATGGATGGACGTGGATTTTACAACCATTACCATCCGTTGCAGTTCCCCACTTTTTTCGATGGCTCAATGCTTACATACGAGTTTCCATGACCCAGGCGATAGAGTTTTAACACAAGTATTTTCTCTGGTGGTAGTGGTCGGTATAACTGATCTCTAAAACGTGATTGTTGTCGTACTTAACAGTGTCCCATCATATGAAAGACAATGCTGTTGATGGAAAAAGAAAGACAATGCTGCTGATTTAACTGAATGAAAAGCAGAAGTATCGACTGTGATAGTTATCAGCAATGCTGCAACGGGATGCATTTTTTGTTGGATTTTTTTCAGGAGGTTTTAAAAGCTCCTGTCTTCCGACAACATGTGGATGAACGTATAATTATCTGGTCTACTTGAGTTGTTATCACTGACACTTTTCCACCCTAGTGCGACCCTACTCAGTTTGACGCAAGTTTTTGCTTTCTGGTTGCGGTTTTAAATTTTCTGTGGTTTTTTGGTCAAGTGTGACCCATACCTAAGAACATATCCTCCACACATACTAGCTTAGATAGACAAGTAAGTCGCATAGGTGATAGGTGAAGGCTTTGCAGCTTTCCTTTGCTGTTTGTAGGATCAGCGGAGTGCTTTTAATAGATATGACAAGTATACAGTTAAAACAACAAATTTAATTCTGGTGAGGTAATTAGTGTTGCCAAATATTTTTAAAGATAATAAGGTGTTGATTTCAGAGAGAGTACCTTTTCCTTTGCAGCTTTCCTTTGCTGTTTGTAGGATCAGCAGAGTGCTTTTAATTTCAGCTTTTAAACAAAGATTTTGGGGTGGAATTTGGTTTATACAGTGACAGATAAATTTGCACTCAGGGGCAAACTCGTAATAACATCTGTTCAATTCATACAATTTTGGATAGACAAGCAGGTTGCACACGTGATATGACAAGTATATGGTTAAAACAACATATTAATTTCTGGTGAGGTAATTAGCTTTGCGAAATATCGTTACAGATAATAAGGTGTTGATTTCAGAGAGAGGAACTTTTCCTTTGCTGCTTTCCTTTGCTGTCGGTAGGATTAGTGGAGTGCCTTTTATTTCAGCTTTTAAACTAAGATTTGGGGGTGGATAATACACTGTAACAGAAATTCCTTTATTATGTACTGGAAAATTTAGACTACGAGTAGTCCCTCTTTTGCTTAGTCTGTTATGCATGATGCGAAAGAAAACTGCGAGAAAAAAAACAGCCGCGTGAAATTCTGGGGGCAAGGAGCGCATGAAAGGAGGGACTACTGCATAAGCCCAAGAGTTTGAATTATGTGTATGCTTTTTTTGCATACGTTATTTCTCGAGAACGAAGAGCAACCCAGTGAAAAAAAACTTCAGAGCAATGTTTCTCAGGTGAAACAAAGCCCACATGCCAAAATTCAGCTAGTTTTGAGCACTTTCAAAAATGGCCGAAAAATCTAGGGGACATTCTTACATACGGCCCTTCAATTTTGGGCTTCAGAAATAACTGGGTAAACAAATATAGCCAAAGAAGTTTCTGTTTCCTCAATTCTCACTTGTGCAAACACACAACAAGTCATCACATTACTACGAATACGGCTACAGTTATACAACAAGTGTTGGGAAGTTTCTTAACGATGTGACTAATTAAGTTCTAAAGTGTAAGTGTAAAAAATCGAAACTCTCTTGTAGTCATATTAGAGAGAGTTTTCGTTCACGAAGAACTACAGCACTGTGCAAAAAGAATGCAAACGAAATTTGGTACTTTTCAATGAACTTAAAGAAACTTCGAGTGAAATGATTTTTCATACGAAGTTTGAGGAATTTTCGAAAGGTTTATTGTTTTAATCAAAACAATAATTCCAGCTGAAGACCATGCGAATATTCACATGAAATATCGTTGAGAATAATGAACTTTCAAGAGAAAGAGTTCGCAGTGTAGTGAAAAGTCGCTTGAAAATTCGCTCTATAAACAATGTCCGAAAACAGATATAAACATCCTTCTGTACATGTATTTCAAAATTCAAACTTACCCAGTTCATCAACTCTCCTGAGACTTCATCTCCATGCTCACAGTGTGATGCAAATGGTCACGTAAACATGGCAACCATTGTTTATATCCATGCATTCGAAGATCGATCGTCAGTTACTCCTGAGCAATCATGCCCTCCGTATCAAACTACTCACAAACTTGAATTGAGTCTCTATAGACAAAATCTTCATCCAGCAGAGATGTTTAAGTTGTTTAAAGGAGAAGATTTGAAAGTCAGTTTTAACAACTGTCACACGTGTAATCAAGAAACTGAAACTCACGGGATCCAAGAAGAAAGGCACGAAAAGCGACTACTTTGAATGATTATAACCAGTAACTTGCCTTTCATCACCCACATAAAACTCCCTTTTAAATTAAAAAGCTTGTAGACATGAACTAGTGTACAGTTAAAAACGTCTGAACTGGAAAAGAAAAGTTTTTGTTTCACCCCAATTATGTTTCGTTCACCTGTTACAAACACACTCAACTCATTGAAGACTGGGACCTACCTTCCTTACATGGATGACAAACAATGGAATGAAATCCAAATGGCATCAGTTCATGGGTGAGGGAATTCAAAGGCACTTCTTGACGTTACTGGTGCACGCTAGGCATTCATTTACAAGAGCAGAGGTTAACACCGTGCCTCCACGGGAGACTTGACATGTTAAGTTGTTTTTGAATGATAAACAGCAAAGGAAAGTTGAAGGACTTGACGAGAGAGGAAAGTGTAAGCTTAGATCGAACGTTATTGTCAATCAAAATGGTAAGGGCATCACACTGTTGATTTCTTCATAGACAAACTGTCAATCAAATAAACATTAAGCTTAAACGTGAAGCTTATAGGTTTTTTGAATATCTTGTGAATTCTTTGGATTAGTTTCATTCAGGTTGTGTTGACACTCAGCTTAATTGCTTAAAGTGCCACTCACCCCCAATTTCTTTTCCTTTAATAAAATCTACTAGTTTCCCTGATTACTTCTGCGAAAAAATTATCTCGATTGATAAAATCCCCGCGTTTCCACAGGCGTTTAAACACGAAATTTCTATGTTCACGACCGCGCAAAGTGGGATCTGGGTCGGGCTACTAGTGACGTCACTTCGGGAACCGGGCTAAAACAC